TTATTGTGCTATAAGAACATTAGCATGCACGAAAAGTAGTAATGATTGAGCAAAATTGTGGAGTGTGAGGTTATGGTGGCCCTAAACATCCTGGTTATGTTTTGGTGTCTGTGCACTACCGTGTTTCCAACAACTTTGCCTTCTGAACTCTTCCTTCAATATTTGCAGTCTAACTGTAAAACACTTTAATTTGTAACCATGCTTTGATGAAGGTCAGTTTGCTTTAAAGATGCTGTTGATATTGTCAGGGTATGGTTATTAAATAAGGTTATTAACCTGTTTTGATCACAATGTTTCCAAACAAACGGTCAAAGGGAACTCTGAAAGTTTAATGTTCGTAAAGTAAATGCCCATTTTTTAAACATATCAATTTAATTTACGTTCCTTTATTTTCATTTTACAACTATCAGAGAGAAAACAATTGAAATATCAAGTTTTTTATGATTTGCACTGGGTCTAATTTGTGTATAGTACTCCAAAAAAACTCTTTCAGTTTTGTATGATTCAATGTTTTTATTTTGAAATTACTTTTGATACGCACTTACGTACAACTGGTTAAATAATGCAAGCTCATAATATCTGAAAATAATAGCAACATTTCTTCATCAGATGCTGGAATGTTTGCCTTTTCTGGGGCTTACAATTTTATGTTCATGGATGACGTACAGAAAGTACAATGTCATCTTTGAATACTCCTTCGCCTGTTGGCGATACGTCCTCGGTGGCCTCGCTAAACCAGGGTCTTTTATTGGGACACCGGGGCGAGGTCAAGAAAACAGGCAATCTGAAGAAACTGAAGGTATAACTGTTACCAGATTTTAAAATTCGTCACTGCTTTCTTTCTGCCTGTGTGACTTAATGTGTCCTTGTCTCTTCTTTCTGTAGACTAATAAAAGAAAGTACTTTGTGCTTCGATGTGAGTCAGCTGACTACCCAGCACGGTTAGAGTACTATGACAGTGAGAAAAAATTTAGAGCTCAGCAGCAACCAAAGCGCAGTATATCTTTGAAAGCATGCTTTAACATAAATAAACGCAATGATATGAAATCAAAATATGTTATTGCATTGTACACAAGGGATGATTGCTTCTGCATTGTTTTGGATTCTGAAGAGGAGAGAGAATCTTGGCTCAGAGCCTTATTGACACTCCAAGATGGTGATGATGTCACTGATGGAGAAACTCCTAAACCAGTGTTTGGTATGCACATTCTTCTTGTTCTTGCTTATTTTGTTTATTACTTGTTTATTTGGGGAATGTATCCAATGTTTCTCACTAAATTATATTTTTAGAACATGTTTGGAAAGTGGACGTTGCAAATAGAGGCCTTGGTGCTACTAGAAACCTCCATGGACCATACCATCTATGTCTAACTGGGAGGACAGTAAGTCTAGTCAAAATTTACCCAGATGGCTCCAAGGATGTTCTTGAGTTTCCGGTAAGTTCTTTCCAATGTTCAATTAATTTTGTTTGAAGATTATGAACATTATTTGTGCTGCTCTTTACCTTAAATAGAATATTGCTAATTCTGTGTTTCTGTTATACTTTGCAGCTCCAAAATATCAGGTCGTTTGGAAGTCTTGAATCATTCTTCCGGATGGAAGTTGGAAGGAATGCTGTGACTGGTACTGGGGAAATTTGGATGGAAGCCGAGGATGCTGTGATAGCTCAGGAAATCATCCGTGCCATAGAGTGAGAATTTCTTCAAGGCTCAATTTTTATGTGTCTTTTTAGTCTATAGAACCTTTTTCTTATCTGTCTGTCTATCTCTTTCAGTGCAATGAGGACAAGGGTTGATGATGGCAGTTCTAGACAGATTGGTCGCTCAGCCTCTGTAAGTGAGTCATCCAGACCCATTACCGTGTCAAGTAGGAGACATAACAATTCTGTGACTGAAAACCATGGTATGTTTTCCTATGAATTTTAATATATTGTAACCCTCTAACCTCCAACCAATGGCTGTGTTAATTTCAATTACATTTTGTTTTGATATTGATTTTACTTAATTTACAGAAGAGACCCGAAGCTCTGCACATGCCAGCACTAATGAGACTTCATCTGGATATATGTCAAACACCGATTCATATTGTGAAATGACAAGAGCTCCAGGAAGATTTATGACAGCAGATCACGGTAAATTTCTTCATCCTATTAAGAGCTATTTTACTCTCTATTCCAAATCCGATTTCATTTGACTTACCATGACCAAAATGCATTTTTGCATACATAAGTTCATACCTATATCATATTCCAACATTTAGGATAGAATTTTGTTTTTGCCACTGACTTTGCTCCAAAGAAAGCAATTGGATGCATCATGGGCTGCTTTGTGTTTGTTGTTCTTTTCACAGTTTGCAGTTAGATAGAATTACTTGTGGTGGCCATTTCTTTTAAAATTATAGTTGAGAAATTTTGAAATCAATTTGCTAAACGGCTTACAGTTTTTCCTTTTTTTTTTCTTTTTCTAATTATCCTGCTTAATCTTAAAGCATGTTTGGCTCTTTAGAGCATGATAGGGTTGCTATTATATCCTGTGAGAGCTTAGTTGATGTCTACGTATTTTCAGTGTTACCTGCTTATGTTTGGCTATCATTCCATCAAAAATTTACCCAATAAGGGCATGGCCAAGGAAACTATTCTCAATTGTAACATCTCTGCCTGTAGGTCAAGTTTTAGAACAGGTTACTCAAATCAACACCTGGGGACCATGTCTGTATTTCACAAATTGCTTCATATAAATCTGGGATAGCTTCTGGGCATGTGTATGAATGGGATGTGTGTTCAAATGCATGTTTTTCGAGAGGGGAACCCTATTGTTATTCCTTCAGATGTATGGGGCTGAGCATATGGTTGGAGTCATTTGTTGTATTCCTGCAGATGGGTCAGCCCTTAGCCGGACAGGAAGCGTGCCATATAATTTCCTGTACTGCCAGTTATCCCAGCGATGTGTGCAACAGCAACAACACCATCAACAACAACAGTGCAGGGTCAACAATAATGTCCCACCAAACCCCAACCGGCGCAGGCATTCAGTTTCAGGTAGTTTGAATTAGAACACTTGCGCAATGCATTGTGTTAACCTCCCCTTTCCACTTTTACTTTAGTGGAGAAAAACTCTCTGTGTAAACTTTATTTTTTGAAAGAAATTGTCCCTTTCATGCTGCAACACTTTACAAGTAGTACATACGTACTATCTTGTCAAAATTTTGGTCTAGCTACTAATTAGGAACCAACGCTCCTCCAAAACATAGTATTTTCTCCCTTCCTATATGCTAGCCAAGTATATTATTTTTGATTCTTGAAGATTGACTTCTTAAACTGTATACTGTAGCTTTATTGTATTTGAGCTAATAGCTTAATAATGTCGCAGCCGTGTGCTTATGGTTCCATGTTTGGCAAGTTCGCATGGCAGGAAGCCAAAGCATGCTTCACACACTAGCAATTGCTGCCTTTTTTTATTTTATTTCTTTTATCTATTTATCTAATTATTTAATTTTTGCTCAATTTGTGTTGTGAATGGGTTTCTTTCATTTAAATGTTGCTTGCTCTGAGGTTTGCTGAACAAAGTAATCTGCCTTTCTCAAAGATTTAAATCCTGTAAATATGCTCTCAATTCTAAAACAAGAATTGATTTGTAGTCGTACTTTGAAGACCACTTCTTTGTTAAACTTATTCTGAACATTTTCTTTAAAACTTTCATCTAATAGTTCTTTTTTGACTTATTATTTGGGCGGTTTACTTTGTTTTGGGTTTGGACTTTGTGTTGCTTTTGGGGGTTCTGACTGCTCCGTCTTCTGACACAAGGGGTGCTTCTTCCAGCGGTGTCAGTTAGTACACCAGGCGCTGCAGGCTGTTGGTCATCAGGGTGTAAGGGCAGTGCCGGCGGTGCACCTGCGCCGTGCACCGTGGCGGGGGCGGGGACGGGGATGGGGACGGCTGGATCCACCACCACTCCCCTCCTCGTTCACCACCAGCGTACTTATTCCTTCCCCCTCTCGCCCCTCCCCCCATCCACCTCGGTGCGCCGTGGAAGTGCAGGCACCAAAGCAGGCCTAGGCCTGGGCCACAGCCACTCAGGCCAACGAGCCAGCGGCACAAGCCTCAGCAGTGCACATTGTACGTATTGCATGCAAAGCACCTCTAGCACTATGTATGTATATCAATGTCTAGGTTGTTTGTTAGACTATCATTCATCTCATAGAGTAATGTATCCATTTTATATACATCTTTACCACCCCCTTGTATCCTCTACCCTTGAGAGTTATTGTTGTCTTTGATTGTTACCTTTATGATAATGACTGAAAGATTGATGATTGATGCATGTCAGGAGATGTGCTCTGCTATTTGTGGTATAAAGAGGACAGGGTGTCACACAGGCCTCCTATACTTTTTGTTGCTGTTACTGTGCCACATTTAGGCTTGTGGTTGGGTTGCATACTCGTTCGCCGCCAAAAGATGCCACAATGAGCAACGTTGTAGGCAAGCCCGCTCACACACCTGCATGGTGTAAAGTACAGGGCTTAGACACCCTAGTCATTCATTTGTTATGTTTGCTGCCGTCTTTTTACTCCAAAAAATTAAAATTTGTTTCTTTTTTGATATTTTTAAAATCTTTTTCTTCTTAACCTACTGATAATGATGATGTTGCAGGTTCGTCTGTTGGTCGAGATCGCTCTGACAGCTTACCCTCGTCAGTTCGTACATCAAGTGAGAATCATACGTTTTCTCATGGGCCTGTGGCCTCCCATGGCCATCATCCCCATCATCCCCCAGGGAGGAGCATGCATTCTCATTTTTCTTCTGCCTACCATCGACCTCATTCAATGTATATCCGGGGGATTTCCCATTCTCCCCCTGTCATTGCATCTAGTCCTGTCAGGTCAGTTTTGCAACTAAACATCAAACCCAAATAACTCCTTTTATTTAGTTGTGCCTTAGCATAATTGAGAAAATATTTATTTTCAGCCCTGCATCTGGAGCATGTTCTACAGATTCTGCAGGTTCCTCACTGTCAATTGATGAAGGTGATAATTGGGTCGATGGCAGTGATGTTACTCTCAGCAGCATGCCTAGCCGATTTGCTTCAAACCATCCTTTGACTCCTGAGTCTCCTATTGAAGAAGAAAACTGTGACGATCAAGGTGGTGACGACTATGTTCACTGGAATGGTCCCAGCGGACTTGGTAAGTTATGTCCTAGTCCATTTGATCTTTATTCGGTTTTAGGAGAGGTTCTGATTCAAATGAAATGACATCTGTGTTTGTATGTAAAAATTTCAGACTCCGGTGTTGGTGACGATGAAAAGATGAACAACTATATGCCCATGGATCGTTCCTCGGCAACACTCTCTCTGCCAATTCAGCAACCTCACACAGGACCCAGTCGAAAGTTTTCTCCTGGTAGAAGCACTGTGGGAAGCAACCTCAACACAGGCACTTCACCTTCTCATTCAAATTACATGGAAATGAATAGTCCATGTGGATCTTCACCCATGGAACCGCCTGGAAACTACATGATGATGAGTCCAGGTACTGGCTGGCAACCTAACACCTGATGTCACCTAGTAAGAGGATTAATTATCCATCGTGTCATACGTAACTGTAATTTATTTCCAGGGAATGCTCCAGGAAATGTTTCATTTTACAACCGCGGTATTCAGCAAATGCACACTGCACCTAGTTCTGCTAATCACAGCCGGACCAGTAGTTTAGCTGAGGAAACTCCAGATGGTTATGTGCCAATGGCACCAAGTCAGACTGATGATGGTTATGTTGATATGGATCCTTCACATGCTGATGCTCATGACGGTAATTTCAGTACATATAGTACAGTAGTTGTACTTTTAGTTTCTATGTCTTCATCCTTACTACTTTCCCTTCTTTTATAAGTTTGAACTAATGACATTGTATTTTTATCTCAGATTTTCATCATGGAGAAATGTCACCATCCAGTTCTTGCTCCATTACTTCAGGCACTCCTTCCACAGATCTGCGCTTCTCAGAGTATCCGCTTGAGAAGGTTAACTCTTATCTGACTCCATCTGAGGAAGAGGAAATTGGTGAAAGACCTACTCGATGCTATTCTGTTGGCTCTAAACCTGATAGTTTAAATAAGAAAAACAGGTGATTTTTCGGTTTTGAATACCGAGTTGATAAACTTTTAACCTTCAATCATTTTGTTATAGTTTTTTTTTTTCTTAAAGTAAATTGGTGACACTAAGCGTGTAGATAAGCTCTTTCATTTATTTATTTTTCTTTTTTTTTCAGAGTTGACCTTGTCAATCAAACAGATTGCTCTCGTGTGCGAGCATTTTCTGTTGGTTCTCGAAATGCACCGGGCTCAAAATACATGTCACGACCTTTAGGTCATGACCTTCATGCTACTCGACAGTCTGGAGGGCACTTTAATCTAATAAGTCAACAGAGGCAACAACAGCAGGTATGAGCATTAAATACATTGATCTATCAAAATGATCTGTGGTCTATGGTACCCATACTCATGTCACATATAATGTTTGTTGTGTATATTTTCAGCAACAGACTGGAAGTGGAAAAAAATCTTCAAGTGCTCCCATCCTTTCCAACTCTCTTTCTAGTTCACCAATGAATAGACACATTCTTGGTGGTAGTCATTCTAGTGTAGACCCGTTGGATGATTTAATGGAAATGGACTTCAGTCCATCTGTGTCAAACTCATCTCAGAACACTAGAAATAGCAAGAGTTCTGGTAAACCAGGGGGGCGATCGAAGTCAACCACTGTGAATGAGTATGTCAGCATGCTCCCCGGAGATCGACTATCGGTTCCATGTAAGAATTAATGAATGAGTGTTTTTATAACCTTTGGATTAATTGTGAGAATTACTATTGAAATTTTGTGTTTTATTTCTAGCTGGAGGAGGAGGAGGAGCAAGTCATCATTCTTCTCAGTCATCGGTCGCATCTTCATACTCAACTGCTGAAGGTGTAGATGTCTGTGGCATTCATATGGGTTCTCCAAGAGCGTATGATTCAATTGGACCAGGATCTCCTCCAAAGCCATCAGTCTTGAGAAGTGTTTACTCTAATGCTATTGGCAGGTCACCTCCAGACAATGTTGCTAGGTCTCCACCTAGTCGATCAACTGCGTCACCCAGATCTGCAGTCACTAGGATGTCATGCATATCAGAACTGAAACCTCAAAATTTCCCCATGACTACTCCATCTCCCCCCATCAAACAATCTCTCCTTGCTACCAATAATTCAGCTTCTAGCATGGCTGCTAAAATGGCTAAAATGGCTGTGTCTAGTCCATATGTAGAGATGAATCCTTCAAATGCCACATCAAAGCCAGTAATAGCAACATCTAGTGCATCAAAACCACCTTCAGATACTGCTCCATATGTTGAAATGAAAAGCCGAACATTAAGTGGTAGTTCGTCTTCAGGAAAACAAAATAATCTGCCTCCTGCATCAAATAATGAAGACTACATGGATATGAGCTTTAAACCAAGGTAAATATTAGGGATTGAAGTCAATTTGACTATAATTTTAGTTTTGCTAAAATTCTCATTTATAGTATTTTTACTTGTCCAAGTGCTGTGGTGACACATATCGCCATAATAAGTTGCATATACCTTGGGACTCAAGGTGTTAAAAGATTTAGAATGTCATTCAGAGTTGTTACTAATATAGATCTGTAACTTTTTTACTAGGAAAACATCAATTTCAGAAAGTAAAGATTTGAACAGACCTACTGCCACTGATGGTTATGTTGAAATGGGATGGAAGCCCTCTAATGAGTCTGAAGTGGAAAAACCACGGAAATCATCCCTGGACTCCCCAAGATCCACATCAAATGATGATTACATGCTCATGTCTGGAGGATCTGGTTCTCTAAGTAGGAATCGGAGGGAAAGGAAAGGATCAACTAAAAGGGAGAGAAATCAGTTAAGGTCTCAACCTATCAATATTCAACAAACGCAACAGGTTTGTTTCTGTGGTATTCTTAGACAAAGCAATTAAGATCAATGCATCTTCTATCCAGCTCCTCATGGTTCATATTATTTCTTCCAGAATCGAAAGATGGTGATGGATACTCCTCCTAAAGCACCACCAGGTTTCTTACCCCTTGCAACTAGTTTGGAGTCTCAATCTCCCTCAACAAGTCCATTTTCATCCCTCGGACGAAATAGGAACCGTAAATCTAGTAAAGATTCCTCAAGTACTGCAAGTGATCTTACAACCCCCACAGGATCGAATTCAACCATATTTCCTCTTAGTTTGAATTCTCCTGGTTCTCCACTAAAGCCATTTTCATCAGACTCTCCATCTGGGGTGACAGTCCCTAGTACTTCTTTTGATAAATTGGAAAAGGTGAGATGTGCCCTCTATTATGCTATCTATTCTTAGCTGTGGATGTCGTTGTTGTTTTTTTAAAAGATGAAATGTGAACTAAGCTTAGCTCTTGTATTCAGGTTCCCGCTGACATGAGTAGTGGCACTTTAAGATTATCATATCCTCACGCAGAAGAGCCTAAGCTCCCTACCACTCCAAGTAACAAGCAGGACCCACCAAAGCATGACTATGTTAATTTCAATCCAAATTCGGACTCAGAAGATACAAGTCTCAAAGGTGACAGTGCAGATGATGCTGGGGACTATGCAATTATGTGCCCTGGGTCTTCCACAGTTTCAAGGAAAGTAGAACCCCAAAAGAAAATGGGATTATGTTCTAGCAGAATTGGATCCAAATTCTCAAGTGACAATGATTCAGGTCCATCTCGCCCAACTGATTATTCCAGACCCCTCTCAAAACCTCTTACGGTCTCTGGACTACTTGGAATGAATAACTTATCACCTACAAGTGCAAGTGAACCTCAGAACATTTTAAATCTATCCTCAGCAAGTACATCAATGTTGTCATTGGGTCGCCAAGTGTCTATGGGATGTACTATTCCAGAGAAAAAGCTTCAAAACTGTGATTCTGACTTGTGTGCAAGTGGCACAAGTAAAGAAAATACTCAATCTGCTCTGAACAATACTAAACAAGAAGTAGATGGAAATAAGTCGTGTTCAGACGGTGCAGCAGGAGTTACTACCTCATCATTGGGACAACTGTCTCAGGCAGGGCCAAATACACCAATCGTGTATTCAAGCCCTAACTTAAGCCCTTGTCCGAGTCCAAGCCCAAACCCTAGTCCATTCAGTGAAGGATCATCAAGTCATATAAGTCCAGCAAGTACTTCGTCTGGTGGAGGTTTACGGGAGAAGAAAATGTCCAGTGGCTCTGATTCCAGCACTGCAAGTCGAGATAGTCAACTCTTAATAAGGAAATATTCAACTGGCAGTGTATCACCTACAAGTAGCAAATCTAGAAGTACTGGTACAAATGACAAAGCAAATACTCCAGCAAGTCGAAGGTTATCATGTCCAAGCAAGTCTTCTGTAAGCCGACAGGTAAGGAACACTGAAACACAAATAGTCCTTCTGAAATATTTGTATGTAACTTTTTTACTTTATTTTCATCCCTTTTTTTTTCTTTCTTGGCAGGTTTCACTATCAAGTGATATTAGTGATGCAAGTCAGACAGAGGAATCCAGAATATCAGATTCAGTTACATCTCTAAGCAGACAAACTTCTAGTTCATCAACCTCCGGCGAAGCCTCATCCTCTTCCACCCTTGCCTTGACTGAAAAGCGCAGTTTGTCATGCTCTCCAGTGCCTTCAAGTGCTTCTCCAGTTCCTCGTACTGCTGAGCGGGAAATCAACTATGCTTCACTTGACCTTAGAATAGGTTCTGAAGCTGATGATTCTTCCATCAGAAGTCCCCGAGGTTTGAAAACTCAAGGATCACTCAGCGAGTCACAGTCTTCCACTTCCTCCCCAAGTCCCAATCCACCAGGAGGAACCTTCACTTATGCCCAGATTGACTTTGAAAAAAGTGAAGACCTCAGGAAATTAAGTGCTGCCAAGAGTGTAAAGCAGTGATATCCAGTTTATAAACCATAGATTGTTCTACTTTTTAAAGTCACTTTTGACACACTCATACTCTTTTCAGTGTTAGGGAAAGGAGACTTTAACCTGATGCTTCTTCTAAGTCATTTTAAGAATTAGGATAGTGAAGGATTGGTATTGCAGTTGTTATATATTTTCTTAAGTTGGAATCTAAGTTTTGTGATGTCTTGATGCTTATCCCTACCAATTGAACAAGAGGTTAAAACATGTATTGTAGTTACTGAATTTTTTGAAGCTTTTACTTTATGATGTAATCTGAAACTGAATGAGATTATTGTGTTACTACTTTTGCACATACAGGGCGCCTAAGATCTCCAACAAAAGAAAGACTTTTATATATGAATGCCCTTGTGCTTGTCAACTCAACATTTTACTATTTTAATCAACATGTTCCTATATACTTCATTTCCTTCAAGTCGGATGAACACTTTCATGTGACATTCCTCCAAGGATAAGTTATATTCTTGCTGATTTCAAGGAATGATGGGAGAGTGCTTTTCACTGCCGTTTTGTTTACAGACTTTTATGAAAAGGACCCATATTAACCTGTGCTGTCACTGCCACTAAAGTGGAAATTCTTCCTGTCACTTCTTTCAACTTCTCTTTGTGTTAGTTTAACAAGTGTAAAACATGACATGCCTGAGTATTTCAATTTTGCTTGTGGTTTTAGATTCAGTAAAGAAAACAAGGGATGTCTTAGCAAGTTGCTTTCCTGGTGGTTCAATTTCTCATCATCATCTCTGTTTTCTGTGTGCAAGTCAAAATAAACCTAGGGTAAGCATATAATTACCTAAATTTATCTATCTGTATGTTTGTGTGCGTATCTGTGTGCAAGTATGAGTAGGTTTGCAAGGCTCATTAGTTTTTCTGAACTTCAATCTTCTAACCCTCTTATTCTGAGGCACTTGCTTTAAAATTTGCGGTTGGCTTTGTCATCCTGACCTTGATGAAATCATTTTCAAAATGACTTGCATGTGTATGTGTGGGTTTACTGTTTTCATGAAATTTAAAATGCATTGTAATATAATTTGAGCTGTCTTATTATTTTCTGCTATAACTAGTTAAGTAAGAAAACTCATTCAATTTGGTTCACCAAAAATCCTTACTGTAGGTAATTACTATTCACAATCCAATTGTGAATGATCTTGATTATTAATTCTGTTATTTCCATTATTCACATGGAAAATTTCTGTTGCACCATTGTGATGAAATTGCTTCATGCTTCAGATTAATATTGTTCAGTGTTGGTATCTACTTCTATGTATCGCTAATAGGCAAATCATGGCTCTGTACCTTTTTTCATTCAGTTTTATTACAAACTTCTTTCTGGTTTGTCATAATTCTTAGCTTACTATTCAAAAATACTGTACTGTACAGTTTGAAAAACTTACTGCAGTATGTTCTTTAAATAATAATTTTACTCTTTTCTGAAATGCCTTTGGTTTTACTTTATCATTTAAGAGAATCATGATTTTTCACAGTTCTAGTTTTAAAAATGACTTAATATGTATTTCTATATAGCAGGTTTTATGATCATTTTCAGTATTGACCATTTTCGACTCAAAACATTTTTGTTTTAAGGTGAGAACATAGCATTCATTCTTTTTTAAACTGTCATTATGGTAAACGAGGAATAGCTTGAAACAAGATGATTATACAGTCAAACAGCTCAGGTTTGTGTTCTAGATTGCAATTTCTACATTGAAATCTTACAGTTAAAAACAGTACTTACCTCCAAGTGCTGGTTACATTCTCTTATTTATTAGTTTCTAATTTCAAGTTTAATTGATACAGTTGCATTTGAAAATGTCGTTAAATAAATAATGTTCCTTGTATTACCTAAGAAGACTTTTATTTATCACTTGCTTTTATTGATTTTGTTCCACAAGAATTTCTCAGTTCATTCAAAGTTTATAGAACAGTCTATTTACTACTGAGTCATTTTACCTGCTTGAGAAGCATTGCGTCATGACTGTTATTCATTACATTATGAAGGAAGTTTCTACAATTTAGCGTGTTTTTTTGTTGTTGTTTTTTTGTTACTGGCAATGTCTTATGGGAGTTTCAGAGTGCTGGATCTCCTCATGAGATTTTAAGTGCAAACCTTCTTACAGAATTTTGTGGGGGGTTGTTTTCGGTTTCCCTGCTGGGAAGTATTTTGATTGCAAAATTGTCTTAAATTATTGTATGTCTTAACTTGATATTTACCCATATTGCTCTGAACAATATTTTTCCTGTTTCGCATATATGGTATGTAGCTTATTTAAACCTCACAATGGTGTAAAGTTAAAAAAAAAAAAAATCAATCTATCCAAATCATCACATATATTTTTATTGATTAGTAAAGCATTTTAGTTTTTAAGAAGAAGAAAAAGAAGAAAGAAAGAAAAGCTATTTGACTTGTAAGTTACCATTTAGAACTGGAGACTTGACATGGATAAATCCCAAATCCAGAAGTAGAGACATGTTTAGTTCCTTTAATGGTTTAAAATGCACTGAGTTTTGGCGTAGCTATTGTTTGGTGAGGAATTTCTGTACCAAATCAGGATTAAAGGGAGAGGCTTACATCCTGATGTGTGTTGGTTATGTTGAGGAAATTGTTACATTGCAAATGAGTCAAGATCTTAGATACCTTATTACCTACTTCATGATACTTTGCTATTCCTTATTCATATTTAACATGATCGTGTACAAAGTTTAGTGAATTCAACCTCTTAGGCTGTAGTCTTTATGTTCCTCTGTGCAGCTGTTAGAGAGCCTCTCTTAGTCCACTGTTACCAATGGCTGCTTTATCTGATTCTGGTGATGTTTGTTGTTGGTCCAGTGGTCAGAGCATATCAATGGTTCTAGGTCTTATAAAAAAGTTTTTTTTCTCCTTTACTGATATAAAAATATGTATGTATTTGTAAGTATACATATATATTATTGCTGTATATGTATATTTATGATGTTATTTATGGGTATATAAATATAGCGTATCCTAGTGTTTTGAGAAAAAAGAATTATAAGAATAATAAACAAATAGAACAACGAAGCTTCACTTTGTTTAGAGCTTGGTGGGGTTCTATTATAGGGCATTGCTAAGTATTGTACATTTTAATGTATATTACCTCAGTTCTACTACTCTTGCTTTGTAAGCAGTGGATCTGCAGATATTATGTGTATCATATGTTATAATATGTATGTACTGAACTGTACCAAAGTACCACTTTGTACTGTTGTACATCTGTTGCGACATCAGATCAAAAGACCATGACGTGCTTTGTGTGCCCTGTGCTGCACTTGTGGACAGTGTTTCTTCAGATTTGGTCAACTTATTTATTTAAACGGGTTGACCAAAAAGCTAGTCAGATTAGAATGCTGACACACATATCGCATATTGGCAAATTGTTGGCAAACTTTTCACTTTGTTGCGTTTTATGCCACTTCCTTTCCTTCCCTGTTATTTCTTTTATTAGTAGTGTGTATTACATTTTTCAATTGTTAAAGTTATTAAAGTGCTGATTGCTTGTGTTCCCCAAACTGTATAGTTAGTTTGGCATTATTTCTTTCTATGGAATTCCCTTTTAATTCTGAATTTTGATTTTATCTACATCTTGTTGCAGGTCTAGCAAGACAATTGTAATTCCATCCTTGAAATTAATTCATTCTTTTTTGTTTTCACATTTAAAGCCAAGAGTCACTGATCTAATCCAGAATTTTCAAAGTTTGTGAATGAAATTAGCTAATGGAAGGGTGTTTGGGCCCCTAGTTTGATGTTTGCTTACTCAGTAAATCTTTTAAGATTGTGGTTGTAAAGGTCTTCTTTTGTATCTGTTGTTCTCTCATTCACATTCTACAATGGGTATAAATTCAATGTTTTGTCATTTTTATGGAAATTAATGTTGTACTTTTTTGTACAGTTAGCTTGTTCGGTGCTATCAGAAAGTAGGCCAAATAGTTGGATTGCCGGTGTACTAGGATAATTTGTTCATGAATTAGTTTAATAATTGCCTTGGGGACACTGTCCACCTGGGAGACCAAGTAAAATGTGTTCCTCCCCTATAGTTAATTATGCATGTTATAGTTAATTGATGCTGTTATGGTATGGCTAATCTCTTTTCTTCCTTTATTCCTTTTGGAGCATACAGCTTTAGTATTGATATCTTGCATGAAATGCATTCATTCATTCATTGTATGGTCCAGTCTGGCACAGGGCATGTGTAACATTGGAATATCTGATGTTTTCCTTAGGGTGTTGTTTTCTGTTCTTTTGTTTTTACATGCAAAGTTTACACTAAACAATTGATTGTTAAATAAAGTTAAAGCAGCACTCGAATAGTTTTTCCTTCCTGCATCTGGCCTCGTCTTCGAAATACGTGACTGCGGTCACGTAGTCCAGTGCGCTCTCTTACTTACTCACCGAAGGGCGCCGAAGGACTCATCGGTGAGGTAGGGTCGGGCCCAGGGGAACGACCTTGAGGAGGGGACGGGTGCGGGGCCAGTCGAAGGTGGCCCGGTCAGCCGGCCGCTCCAGACGCAGCCATGGGCTGGGTAATGGGCTCCGGCTCATTATACACTTGAAGGGCAGTGGCAGTGCAGCAGGTGGATAAGTTCACCTTCCCTCCGAAACGGATCACCGGAGAGAATTTGGGGTCCGGTGACTGGTTGACTTCCTACCGGACACCCAGAATTTTCAGTTTACAAAAAGGGACGCGCAGCGCAAGGAATGTTTCGTTTTTAAATTGGAAAATACGAAATATCTCGGAAACCGTAGGCCAAGCTCAAGGTCGAAAAAGAAAGAAATTTGCGAGTGCCCCATGATCTTTTCCTGAAATTCCGGTAGGAGCCCTTGCCGGCAGTCAGACATGGACATGGGTCACGTGAATAGGACCTCATTGAAGAATTCTTACGCGAGATGGCGTCACTGAAGACGTTCTACCACCCACAACACAATGCAGCCCTTTGCTCATCCGACCCCAGCAAACCCACAATTCACGTCTGCTTTTTGCGTTGCATACGACCGATCTGGCAAACGAGACCGCCCGGAAAGCAGCAGCCTTTTTCAAACACTATAAAACTATTCTAGAGTCCCGTTAGAGATTGTCCTGAAACAACGTCCCCTTCCCTCAGATTTATTCGGCAAACAACGGGAGCTCGGCGCCTGCGAGACTCGAGGTAGGCCACCCCGCAGTACACGCATGCACTGTAGGCAGAATGTTGCCTGCCAATCGGGCGCTGTGGGAGCTTGCACAGGCTGAACTTGGCAATTTCGTACAGGCGAATAGCGGACGTACTTCCTGGATGATCCCTTATCGTTGTCCACTCCAGCGACAACACTGGTACTTGTAAGCCGCGTCCAAATCTCGTAGTGCCGAGATCGTCCGAGCTCCCGCGGACGTCATCGAGGACCTCCCGAGCACGCCGATGACACTCCCACGACAAATACGATTCGGCTCCAAATCCAAATGTCGTGTACCCGAGCTGGTGCATATTTCTTAAAGGTAACCAAATATAGTTATTATTAATAGCAAATCGCCCATAATAATAGATTATCATCCTGATCAATTCATTATTCACAGCTACAGCACTTCCCTGACGTTGCCCCCTCTGCAGCCACACAACGATGCACGGGGCGGGAGGCATCCCCAAAGGATAACATCCCGGACAAGCGAGGCGGGATTGCCTACCCCAGGCGCCCTCGGCCACAATTTTTCCTTGAGGTTCCCCGTAGAGCTACGGCCACATGTTGCATGTGTCGGAAGTCCTAAAGAATCACATCCCGTGACCACACGATCTGTCGGTGAGTGTCGTCGTCTGATCAGAACTTCTACCGTAATTATTGCTCTCGCTCTCCCCCTTTGCCGTGCCGCGTCCCCTACTCCTCCCCTCCTCCCCACCCCGCCCCGCATTTCCCGCGCCTTTATAGAAACGTAAATAAACAGTAAAGATCGGTCGGTGTCAAGATCTGCGTCTTCTTCTCAAAACCGATAACATCTACTCATTTAATTGATCATAGGATTTTAACCAGAATTTGAAGGTGGACATCGCCGCTTTTCGATGTTAATAGCAAGGTATAGTGCTTGATTGTTTCCGGTCCGGAATATTGAATTGTTCCATTCCGGTTATTGTTGTGGGAGGTTAGTGTGCTCCAGTGACTCCATATTTACACACAAAAGTTGTAAGTTATTTAATGAGACCGAGTAAATGATACCCGTGATGCAAACATGAGAGAAGCAAACTTGGCTCACTGTTAATGGGGTACACTCCTCCATTCCATGCAGTATGCTAACATGCTATCTACTGTCAGGTCATTTGCAAATGGGTGAACTGTCTGTGTTGTTTCATATATCATAGATTTTACTCTATATTATTTCTCGTGGAATAGAAAACTTTATTACTTTCTGGTTAGGTGAAAACCGAGTGGTACTATTTGCGTAATCCCCCAAACCATCAATCAATGTGCGTTGCAGCTAATTTGCAGCTGCCCATCGTACTTAATGCTTGAGTCCAGTGCCAAATTAGTTATTTGAAAGACCATGGTCATTTAGAGACATATGGGGGGAGAAGCATTTAAAAGTGTATTGTATGAGTAAATTATATGTAATTAATAGTTAATGAACGCTAAAAGTACCGTTTAATATGATTGCAGGAACTCGGCCCAGATGTTCTTGGCATGAGCAAGAGAAGTCTATGGAGTCATTTTACCCAAAAGAATAGGTGAGTTGACATGACCGCCAACGCTGGTCCAATTTGTCTCTGTACAGACAATGTGAGGAGCTTCCTTTCATGTGCATCAAAGGGTGGTTTTTGATGTTTTTTGTGGTGCCTTGGTTCTTTGTTGTCGCTTTCAACCCTCCTCTGTCAAAGTCCAGGCTGATTTGTTATCATTGAAAATGTCTTTTAACTCAAGTTTCTGTGAACAGGAGTGATTTCTGACAGAAGCAAAGGTAATTTTGTGGGCCCTATCCATTCATGTACTCATCCCTCAAAAACCGGACCCATACCTTTGTAAATTTGGCCAGAAATGAAAAATTTGAAAATTGCTGGAAATGGTTGGGATTGGTCCTTTCAATCTCTGCGTCGAAGTTTCACGCCGCCGGTCCATATCAAGTGAGTTACACCTGTTTTTCTTGGGCCGGTTCGCCTGCGCCTGCGAGGTAGGCAGCCCATCTTACGCTGCCCGCCAGATTAGACCACCTTGAAAACGCAAGTTTTTGTGGACAGGGGTGGTTTCTGGCGGAACCAAAAGTAGTTTTGTGGTCCCTTGGGTCACCCTTGTCGAATCGGTCACTGGATATACCCGAAGTTTCACGCCACCGGGCCATTTTAAGTGAGATACGCCTGTTTTTGGACCGGTTCGCCTGCGAGGTAGGCAGCCCATCGTACGCTGACCGCCAGATTCAAAAGACCACCCTTAAAACTCAAGTTTCTTTGGACAGGGGTGGTTTCTGACGGAACCAAAAGTAGTTTTGTGGTCCCCTGGGTCACCCCTGTCGATTCGACTACTTTTCCGTCGAAATCCCTACCCATCAATTTTCGCTAAAAACACAAATTTCACGCCGCCGGGCCATTTTAAGTGAGTTACGCCTGTTTTTCTCGGACAGGCTCGCGCGCCAGATTCAAAAGACCACCCCTTAAAACTCAAGTTTCTCTGGACAGGGGTGGTTTCTGGCGGAACCAAAATTAGTTTTGTGGTCCCCTGGGTCACCCCTGTCGAATCGACTACTTTTCCGTCGAAATCCGGACTCATCAATTTTCGCTAAAAACACAAAGGCTTTGTAAATTTGGCCAAAAATGAAAAAAATAAAAATCGCTCGAAAATGGTTGGGATTGGTCTAGGAGGGTCGCCTTTGACCTCCTCTGTCGAAATTGCGTGCTTCCTGCCTCTTTTGCATCCTGTTTCTTCGACTTTAAAATTGCGTCTTTGGTTTGTTGCAGGAATATCGGCCTGGAGGTGCACCTGTCCTGGACATCAGCCGTGCTGCCCATGGAATCATCAGATATAAGTTGAGTTGGCGTCACAGTGATTACAGCTGGTCCTGTTATTTTATTCTTTTGTAAAGTCTCTTTGAGTAAGCTTGAATGATTTTCTCTCTGGCACCAAACTTTGTTGGCCATTTAATGTCACTTTTCACGACAGGGGTGCTTTAGAACCTATGGTAGTTTCCTGATGCCATAATTTACCCCTGTAAATTTTCTAAAATTTGTACAAAAAAAATTGATAATCTTTTATTAAAAAAAAAATAAAACAAAGTATATAGTCCTCCCAACATTACTTTGGTCTTTGGGCCCCATAAAACCTGGAGATCAAAGTAATGCTGAGACGACTATATTTTCCCGAGGGCTGGGGGTGGTGGTGGGGATGTGGACAACACCCACATTGTGGAAGGGTCTAGCGGAGCCGTTCCGCTCAAGCTGTGGAGTCAGCAAACCCTTTGCCGTGGGTAAACGTGCAAACCCTTGTGCCGTGGGTCAAACGGTGCACTCTTCGGGACACGCTTGACCTCAAGCGTCAATGAGGCGGGCTGTACGGGGCCCAATTGGTGTTTAATCACGTTACCGTACTATGCGTGAAATTGCTGTGACGCAATTTGCTGAGCATTGATCGCACCCGGGCGCGGGCATACAGCGAAAAAGCAGCGTCCTGGCTTATGTGTGACGAACCCTCCCTCCCCCTGCCCCCGCGCTCCTCGCGGCTGCGGCTGCTGTGGAGGTAGTAGCGGGCTGCCGCCGCTACCGTCGTGACGTCACGGGTGCTTTGGGCGCTGCTGCGGTGGTTGTGGGGTGGTAGTAGCAGCATCCTGCAGTAAGTCTACTACTGCCTCCACAGCTAACGAGAGCTGCATCCGAGACGCCCGTGACGTCACTGCTGTAGTGGTGGCAGTCTGCTACTACATCCACAGTTACTGCAGCGTAGAGTCAGGTCTATGAAATAATGTAAAATGTTGGATAGTAATTGAATTCTTTATTGTTTCAAATCATTTACATTATGAGAATACATCTTGCTCAATTAGCTGGCTTGTTTCTGCTGGTGACTTTGGGCGAATCTAAATACCTGAAAAAGAATGGAAAAAATCTAAGTTAAATTCAAATTATCTCAGAGTTCAACTTAAACATGTTCTGGACCATCGGTATCACTCGTGACGCCAACTCATCGAAGGAACTTTCTATGTTACAGGTGGTAAGCATCAAGTCCAGGCCCAGGCACACCCCTTTGGATAAGGACCAGCATCACTTCTTATTTTACTACAACTGTACCATACAAATGAAATAAATAGCAGCATTACTGTCAGTGATTACTAATGATTTGACTCCAGTTCCGCACTAAAATTAAAACACGACTATATATTTTAGGCTCAAGTAATAAGCCATATATATGGAATGAGAATAAGCAGTAAAGAGATGACAAGTAACCGCCAAAAAGAAACAATACCAAAATAAACTTTTACCAGACCTGACTACCAAGAATGTACTGGTATTTTATGTTAACATCACATTGAAAGTCAAAACTTACCAGATTCATTCCTGCGATCATGAGAAAAAGGAGCGATTCCTCCTGCTGTGTGCTGCGACGGCAACTCAGCATACAGCAGATGACACATAGGCTGCTTTTGCTGATGTCCAAGACAGGTACACCTCCAGGCCGATCTTCCTGCAAGAAACCAAAGAGTTGATTTTAGTCGAAGAAAACAGGATGTAATAGAGTCAAGAAGCACGCAATTTCGACAGAGGAGGTCAATGATGACTCTCCCAGACCAATCCCAAACATTTCTAGCAATTTTCAATTTTTTCATTTTTGGCAAAATTTACAAAGGCTGTGAATTGATGGGTCTGGTTTTCGATGGAGGAGTATTCAAATCGACAGGGGTGAACCAGGCACCACAAAACTACCTATGATTCTGTCAGAAACCACCCCTGTCCGGAGAAACTTGAGTTTTAAGGGGGGTCTCTTGAATCTGGCAGGGAGTGTAAGATGGGCTGCCTACCTTGCAGGCGAACCGGTACAAGAAAAACAGGCGTAACTCACTTGAAATAGACCGACGGCGTGAAATTTCGACGAAGATATACAAAGGGAGACCAATCCCAACCATTTCTAGCAATTTTCAAATTTTTCATTTTTGGCAAAATTTACAAAATTGATGGGTCCAGATTTCAACGGGAGTCTAGCTGCCCCACCAATCCAAACCAATTCCAGCAATTTTCCAAATTGGCAAGATTTTTAAAAGACATTTTCAATGATAACAAATTAGACTTGATTTTGATGGTGGAGGATTGAAATCAACAACAAAGAACCAAGGCACCACAAAACACATCAAAACCACCCTTTGATGCACATGAAAGGAAGCTCCTCATATTGTCTGTACAGAGACAAATTGGACCAGCGTTGGCGGTCATGTCAACTCACCTATTCTTTTGGGTAAAATGACTCCATAGACTTCTCTTGCTCATGTCAAGAACATCTGGGCCGAGTTCCTGCAATCATATTAAACGGTACTTTTAGCGTTCATTAACTATTAATTACATATAATTTACTCATACAATACACTTTTAAATGCCTCTCCCCCCATATGTCTCTAAATGACCATGGTCTTTCAAATAACTAATTTGGCACTGGACTCAAGCATTAAGTACGATGGGCAGCTGCAAATTAGCTGCAACGCACATTGATTGATGGTTTGGGGGATTACGCAAATAGTACCACTCGGTTTTCACCTAACCAGAAAGTAATAAAGTTTTCTATTCCACGAGAAATAATATAGAGTAAAATCTATGATATATGAAACAACACAGACAGTTCACCCATTTGCAAATGACCTGACAGTAGATAGCATGTTAGCATACTGCATGGAATGGAGGAGTGTACCGTGTACCCCATTAATTCAACACCTTTTCAAAAAATCTGACAGTGAGCCAAGTTAGCATCACGGGTATCATTTACTCGGTCTCATTAAATAACTTACAACTTTTGTGTGTAAGTATGGAGTCACTGGAGCACACTAACCTCCCACAACAATAACCGGAATGGAACAATTCAATATTCCGGACCGGAAACAATCAAGCACTATACCTTGCTATTAACATCGAAAAGCGGCGATGTCCACCTTCAAATTCTGGTTAAAATCCTATGATCAATTAAATGAGTAGATGTTATCGGTTTCGAGAAGAAGACGCAGATCGTGACACCGACTTTGACTGTTTATTTACGTTTCTATAAAGGCGCGGGAAATGCGGGGCGGGGTGGGTGGGGAGGAGGGGAGGAGCAGGGGAAGCGGCACGGCAAAGGGGGAGAGCGGGAGCAATTATTACGGAAGAAGTTCTGATCAGACGACGACACTCACCGACAGATCGTGGTCACAGGATGTGATTCTTTAGGGCTTCGGACACATGCAACATGTGGCCGTAGCTCTACGGGGAACCTCAAGGAAAAGTTGTGTCCGAGGGCGCCTGGGGTAGGCAATCCCGCCTCGCTTGTCCGGGATGTTATCCTTTGGGGATGCCTCCCGCCCCGTGCATCGTTGTGTGGCTGCTGAGGGGGCAACGCCAGGGAAGTGCTGTAGCTGTGAATAATGAATTGATCAGGATGATAATCTATTATTATGGGCGATTTGCTATTAATAATAATTATATTTTGCTACCTTTAAGAAATATGCACCAGCTCGGGTACACGACATTTGGATTTGGAGCCGAATCGTATTTGTCGTGGGAGTGTCATCGGCGTGCTCGGGAGGTCCTCGATGACGTCCGCGGGAGCTCGGACGATCTCGGCACTACCAGATTTGGACGCGGCTTACAAATACCAGTGTTGTCGCTGGAGTGGACAACGATAAGGGATCACCCAGGAAGTACGTCCGCTATTCGCCTGTACGAAATTGCCAAGTTCAGCCTGTGCAAGCTCCCACAGCGCCCGATGGGCAGGCAACATTCTGCCTACAGTGCATGCGTGTACTGCGGGGTGGCCTACCTCGAGTCTCGCAGGCGCCGAGCTCCCGTTATTTGCCGAATAAATCTGAGAAAAGGGGACGTTGCCCGTTGTTTCAGGACAAACTCTAACGGGACTCTAGAATAGTTTTATCGTGTTTGAAAAAGGCTGCTGCTTTCCGGGCGGTCTCGTTTTTTTCTTCTTTTTTTTTCAAAACATCTTTATTTAACAATTCTTTGCACAGCTGTGGCTGTGCCAATAAAATCGAGGCATTCACCGTATTTACGTTATATCCCTTATTCTACTAAAACAGCGGTTGGTTAGATCACGCTGTCGGCGAGTCGGGGTCAGGGTGTCCTCCTGAGGGTCACCTCGCGGACCTCCCGCTCTAACCGGGGCACCAGCGTCCCGGCGCTCCGGGCATGCTCGAGGTGCTGCGGCCGGGCCGGGGGCCGGGCCCAACCGGAGCCCGGCAGGTGCGCAGCGCCTGGCCGCAGGAGGCCGCAGGCAGGGCAGGATGCTGGACGGCGCAGTCAGTTGACCTGACTCTGTGTGCGCGTGAGGACCGGATCGAGCCAGAGCCAAACGAGGCAGACGAAACTGAACGCGCCGGAGCACTCCGGGGAACTCCCCCTCATGCAGCGCGGCCGGCCCAGAGGACACCAGGTGTCAATGGCCCAGGACGACGTCATCGTCGAGGTGTGTGGCTGCGGCAGTGTGGCGGCGGACGCGGAGGAAGCTGCGGGGGCGGCGCCAGTCCCATCCTGGCAGAGGCGCCTGGCGTCCTCGGACGCGGACAGGCGTGCCGGTGGCGGCGGCGCACACCTGCGGCGGCGTACTGGTCGCAGCGTGGGCGTGTTGTACCTGCTGCTCGTGCTGGCCGCGTCAGGCTGCTGGCCCGCGGTGCTGGCCTGGCCGACCGCCTGGCCAACCGTGCCGTCCTTGTCAAGGCTGCTGGCCGGCAATCGCCTCGCCCCGCACGGGCGCGCCGTCCACGGCCACGGTCACGGCCACGGTCACCATCCACGGGGCCTGCTCTCCGGCTGGGGAACCTCGTGGGGCGGCCTTGGGAATGGTGCCTGGAATGCCGACGCCATCCTGGAGAAGATACAACGCTTCGGGAGCGGCCTCCTCGGTGGGCAGGCGGGCACGGATGCCAATGCTCAAGTCGGCAAAGGTGAGTGCACACCGGTACACGCAGTACGCTCGGGGGCCATTGGCCCAGCTGAGAAAGCAATGTGGCTGAGTGTGAGTGGCCGCCGGTCGGTCAGGCCAGACCCGCTCTGCCCCGCCCCGTCCCGCCCGTCGTCCAGCAGCGTCCTGCTCAGTGACGCTCCTGGAAGGAGGTTATGGGGCCGGCGGCGGGGCGGGGCGGGGCG